TAGCGCTGTATTAAGGTTAACTTTCCAATCAATTTATATAATATTCTGCGATATGTTGTGACTGTATATGATGCAATTATTATTAATAAAAATTATTATTATTATTCAAAAAAAATTTTTTTTGTTAAAAACTGTTGACAGTTCCAAGACTGTCAATGATTTAGTTAAAATTCAATTAAATCTTCAACAGTTATCAAACTATCAAGAATTTGTCAAGAGATCCTTGACTATTCAAAAACTGTCATAATCCTTTCTTGATAGGGGCTACAATGACAGTTCAAAAACTGTCATTGTACCCTTTTCTTGATAGGGAATCCCCATCAAGAAAGGCTTTTTTCCTTGTAGTGATATGAGGTAAAGGTATATAATCTGTTTTTTCCTCTGCAAAGTTAGTACAAACAAATGATTATATACAAACTTTGTTACCTTAAATGCACGTCTCGAAAGGTTAACTATGTGACTCATCTCAACTTGTCTTTTAGCATCAAATTAATGTAATGTGCAACACGGGGAGATTAAGTAATATTGTTATATTTTTCAGACAACATTCTTTCAGCAGTTTTATAATTTGCTCTATCGTCAGTAACAAGATGGACAATATTGTTTGGTCTAATCTATAAAGCTATTTTCTCAAACAAGTTGAACAATGTTGTAGCATTTTTTATAGCATTTGAAGCATCCACTGATTTCACAAAACACACTCTTTTAAGACAGTATACTAGAAAATTAATCAACGACCTATGTGAATTATCCGTCCAACCATCAGCCATTAAAGTACATCCAACATCCTCCCAAGTTTTCTTGTAACTATCAACAAGTAATTGCACTTTCCTAATATCTCTCAATAAATTTACACGCAAATTATGATAAGTTGAGATTTTATATTCAAGACCAATTGCAGGTATAGCATCCATCATAGGTTGAAAATAAAATAAATTAATAACATTAATTAGGATGCAAAAATCATAAAATAACTTTGCAACAATCATGTCTACTCTCCATTTAGCTTCTTTTCCGGTTAAAACACTCTTAATTGAGGGCTGAGACCCAGACTTAGTCATTGGAGTAAAATAGTCATCTATCTTAATAGATTTTTTTCTCTTAGTGCTTGAAGTTGAAGTTGGATATGGAGATATGGAGAAACCTCTTCACACTCTTGATCTGCACCTAACATATCATTCTCAAATTGTTGTATGCTAGCTCCATAAGGATTTATAGTCTTACGAAGTTCAACTTTTTGTTTATTCTTGGCCCTAATTTTGTTTAGTGCTTCTTCAATCTAAAATTTAACATCAAAAGGAACTTTAGAGCACTTCCCAACTTCCCCCTTTATACCAGTTAGATGTAGTTTCACTTGATAAATTCATCCACTCTAATTATCTTGTCANAACTCCAACCTCCTTGCCAAGATAATTTTTTACTCTTTACAAAGAGCTCTTTATTTCATATTCAACTTTTATGCTGATGTATGTGCAAAGCTGGTTTAGTAGTTTTTGGAATGGAATTGCTTGTCCAAATTTGTAGAGTGAGAATGTTTGTTTTCTGTGATATTGTAGGCATTAGTATGAATTCTTCATTAATAATAAAGGTTATGTTTTCTTAACTGGTTAATCTCTAAATTTTAGGTACAGAGGAGGCCCAGCATTTGCCAAGAAAGATGATTTTTGAGGGCATTACCAGTGAGAAGAGAGTAGGGGTTTACCCACTTTCTCTCAATTTGAGTGCCCTTCAATGTTTAGTCCACACGCCTCGTCTTGCTGAGTACTTTTTGCAAGATTACAGTGATGAGATGAACACTAAAAATCCTGTAGGAAAGCATGTATGTGGTTTTTTTTTTTTTTTTTTAATTATTATTATTCTATTCTTTTATTTGAATTTGTGTTGTTTTGTTTTAGTGCTGTATTAAGGTTAACTTTCCAATCAATTTATATAATATTCTGACATATGTTGTGACTATATATGACGCAATTATTATTAATAACAATTTTTATTATTATTCAATTTTTTTTTATTTTTTTTTGGTTAAAAACTCTTGACAGTTTGAAGACTCTCAATGATTTAGTTAAAATTCAACTGAATCTTCAACAGTTATCGAACTATCAAGAATTTGTCAAGAGATCCTTGACTATTCAAAAACTATCATAACCCTTTCTTGATAGGGGCTACAATGCCAGTTCTAAAATTGAATCCCTATCAAGAAAGACTTTTTTCCTTGTAGTGATATGAGGTAAAGGTATATAACATGTTTTTTCTTCAGCAAAGTTAGTACAAACAAATGATTATATACAAACTTTGTTATCTCAAATGCATGTCTAGAAAAATTAACTATGTGACTCATCTCAACTTGTCTTTTAGCATCAAATTAATGCAATGTGCTACACGGGGAGATTAAGTAATATTGTTATATTTTCAGACAACATTCTTTCAACAGCTTTATAATTTGCTCTATCGTCAGTAACAAGATGGACAATATTGTTTGGTCTAATCCATAAATTTTTTCAAACAAGTTGAACAATATTGTAGCATCTTTTATAACATCTGAAGCATCCATTGATTTCACAAAACATACTCCTTTAAGACAATACACTAGAAAATTAATCAGCTACCTATGTAAATCATCAGTCCAACCACAGCCATTAAAGTACATCTAACATCCTCCCAAGTTTTCTTGTAACTATCAACAAGTAATTGCACTTTCTTAGTATCTCTCAATAAATTTACACGCAAATTATGTTAAGTTGGGATTTTATATCCAAGACCAAATGCAGTTATAGCATCCATCAGAGGTTGAAAATAAATTAAATTAATAAAATTAATTAGGATGCAAGAATCATAAAATAACCTTGCAACAACCATATCCACTCTCCATTTAGCTTCTTTTCCAGTTAAAACATTCTTAATTGAGGGCTGAGACTCAGACTTAGTCATTGGAGCAAAATAATCACCTATCCTAATAGATTTTTTTCTCTTAGTGCTTGAAGTTGAAGTTGGATATGGAGAAACCTTTTCACACTCTTGATCTGCACCTAACATATCATCTTCAAATTGTTGTACGATAGCTCCATAAGGATTGACATTCTTACAAAGTTCAACTTTTTGTTTATTCTTGGCCCTAATTTCGTCTAGTGCTTCTTCAATCTAAAATTTAACATCAAAAGGAACTTTAGAGCACTTCCCAACTTCCCCCTTTATACCAGTTAGATGTAGTTTCACTTGATAAATTCATCCACTCTAATTATCTTGCCACAGTAAAGACATGTTAATATCTTCTTCCTATTTTTATCTATGCCCTCATTAACATGTCCTCATATCCTTTCTCGAAAAGATTGTGAAACATCCATAGAAGTAGATTGTTGACAAGACTTAGATGATGACATATTCTTTGTTTTTAATCTTAATCTTTACCCTGGCAACACAAATAACAAATAAGTTAGTATCGATCATAATCGAGAATATCTTCATAAATTAAATTAAAGATTCAATATGTTTGATTAATTCTTGCATGGCATGTGTGTGTACTGTGTAAACATAAGAAATTCAGATACTTCAAGATGTCCACATAAAGCCACAAAATCATTGTGGCAATTAACATCCCAACCAAGGGATCGTGTACTAATACCAAAGAAATCACTATGATTTGCACCATCAATTTGAAACAAAAAATTCATTCAGAAACTACCCTGATTCTACATTATGAAGCTCCCACTCTTTAGTCTTTACTATCTTCACTGCCCAAATCAGATGATTGCAACCGAGACTAAGAAAAACAGCCAGCCATCCACAAATAATGTAAGAACAACATCCAGAATGTGGCTTAACTACTTCGTACCTACCAATTACCAACCAAACATAAGATTTTAACACAAGTCTTTTGAGTACCTTAGAGTCAGTTTTGCATCATTGTCGAAACCTCTTTTCAGTTTCTTTAATCTAAAAACTAATAAAAGTTGGCTACATATTGAATGTAAAATAGTTGTTAAAAACATAACATTTGTTTTGCAAAAGTTAATGATAATTTAGATTAATTTAACAATAGATCATGACATAACAAAGCAGCAATCAAAGCAGTACTCTATGAAATGTGGAGACAACAAAATCTTGAAGAAAAGATAGAGAACAAATGGGAGGAAGAGGTGACAGTTACCTGGCAAAGATGACCTGTCGTTGACTGTTGGAGAGGTAGAGCTCAACTGTGAATTGTGAAATGATGAGATCGAGCAAATGTGAGAAAGAGGTGACAGTTCCTAGGCAAGACGAAGAGGAGATCGATGGTGTAGCTCTGAGATCGATGATGAATAGAGCAGATCGACGGTGAAAAGTGAAGACTGAAGAGTGAAGAGATGACATAAGAGATCGTGAAATGGGTGGAGAGTCTCGGTACCCCAACTGATGATGACCAGAGCAGTTCACGTGTTCATTGTGAGGAGACGAAATCGATTATGAAAGGAAGACTCCGGTGGAAGATTTTCAGACCAAAAGTCAGGGGAATGGCGTAAAAATGGGGGGAAATTGTTGGTATTTGGGGGTTTAAGGGATATAGGGTTTATTTTAATTCTTATATGGGACTCAGTTTTGTTCTTTTAAATAACAGTTGGACCAGTGGGTGCAACAATGCATCGGTCCAATCGCAGGTGTAATTGGTCAACCTTATATTACCGGTTATTAGCCTCACTTGGCTTGAGTCATCGACCAGGTCCCGATTGAACCGGTTCAATTGGTCAGGCTAGGCTGAGTTTTAAAACATTGGCCGTTGCAAATCATTTTGGGGCCATTTTGATCTATTTCGGAAATTGTAGGGGCAAATTGATGTGTTTTGGAAACAATGGGTGGATTTTTGATCAAAATTTAAAATAATTCAGGGGAGATATTTGTATATTTTCCAAACCTTTGGAGCAAATTGATTTTCAGCAAACCTTCTAGAAAGTGGGGGAGAATTACCCCTCGTTAATTAAAGTTCAAAAAAAAAAAAAAAAAAAAATTGTAAAGAAGAGGAGGCGCACGGTAGCATTGACCAACTCTGGAAATAAGAGCAATCAAAACCCGAAAACCCTCCTCTCTGGAATCATGTCAAAAAGCTTGAATTTAATAAAGACAAATGCTTTGAATCCGAAAGTCTGGGTGGTGATCGGCGTGAGCGTGGTGGGGATCGTGGTTGTGGCGGAGACACTGGGCCGTAGAAGGAAAGTGAAAGCGGATGGAAGAGTTGATTTCTGTGCTTTTATTGAAAGATTTGAACTGCTTCCGTTCCCTCAGCCGCCGCCCCCCGCTGCTAGACAGCCGCTTTCCGGCCTCAAATTTGCCATCAAGGACATGTTAGCCTTCTTGCACACACTCTGCTTTCTCTCTCTCTCTCTTTTCACATACAGTTACTTTAGTTTCCTGTTCTGATAATGATGAAATTCAATTATTATAAGACGAAAATTTTGTCGACTTATCTTTTCCTTGTAACATATGACACAAAGATTGGTTGGGGGGTTTTCGCAAGAGAGGTTGATGGCTCTGTTTTTGTGCTTTGTGTTTAGTATGGGAGGGCTATTTATTTTTTTTTTTTTTTTTTTTTTTATGTGGAAAGTTCATTTGTACATAAGAGGAGGAATAAATGTAATTTTTTGGGGTGTGGTTATGGCAGCTTCGATGTGAAGGGGTATATAACGGGGTTTGGGAGTCCAGACTGGGGGAGGACGCATGGGGAATCTGAGAAAACAGCGGTGGTGGTTACTCTTTTATTGAAGAATGGGGCTACTTGTGTTGGCAAGACTGTAATGGATGAATTGGCATTTGGGTAAGTCATTACTGTCTCGTCTTCTCTGAGATCAGAAGGATAGTTTAATGAGGTTTTGTTTTTAACTTTTGTATTAGGATAACTGGGGAGAACAAGCATTATGGGACCCCTATCAATCCGAAAATGCCATCTCATATTCCCGGAGGTTCTTCTAGCGGTTCAGCAGTGTCAGTTGCAGCTGAGCTTGTTGACTTCGCTCTTGGTAAGATCAGTTATGCTTGAGTTTGCTGTTTGCTTTTTATTATTTTTTGTATTCTTTTTCTGTAAACCATGTAATTCCTGATTTGATGTCAGAATTCTGAGTTTCTTTAGTTGTCCTTGAATATTCATTGACAGACTCATAAAATACATGCTCACTTGTGAGCTTTGCTGGTTGGTTCCTTTCTTTTCCTGCAGGAAATTGATCACTGGACTTTGTTTGTGGATACAATTTATTTAGGTTATTTTGCTTCTTAATTATGCCATCTAATCTATGAAACTCTTATGTTTCATAGGTACTGATACAATTGGGTGTGTGATAATTCCAGCGTCATTTTGTGGGATCCTTGGGTATCGACCATCACATGGGGCTGTTTCTATGATTGGGGTTCTGCCAAATTCGCAAACTCTTGACACTGTTGGTATGGTATTCATTGATAGCTTTTAAATGTTGTACGTAATATTTTTATGTTCTTTTATTTTTGAGTTCTGATCAACTCATATGAAAATGAGGTTTCCTACTTCTTTGATTTGCAATGAATTTTGTGTAATTTCTTACAGTATTTCTTGTTCAGCTGAAAAGCTGATATTGACTGTAAAACTGAGTCATCTACCTAATTGTCCTGTATTAATAAGAAGTATGTGCATTTTAAATGGTTTTGGGTATTTGAGATGATAATGGCTGGGTGTCTTACAGCCTCTGGGATTTTTGAGGACTTCATTTTTTTGCCTCTTTGTTTCAAAATTTTTTGATTGCCTTTCTTGGTTGTGTTTTTACATTTCATTACATGGTGATCTTTCAGGATGGTTTGCACGTACTCCATCTATTTTACATCGTGTTGGACATGTTTTACTTCAATTAAATGCGGTTGAACCTAGGAGGGCAAGTCGCCTCATTTTTGCTGATGATGTCTTCCAGCTTTCTAAGGTTCCCAAACTGAAGACATTACATGTTATTAGCAAAGCAATTGAAAGGCTATCTGGGTGTAAGTTGCTGGGTTTTATGATATCTACTGATATAGTTTGTGTATTTAGTTGCGGTTTTTTTATGGTTTATTCATAAACATCACCATGAAAACTGTATTATCTGTTGACCTGAACAAAGAAAGAATGTAACAACAATTACCTTTTTTTGAAGTTGCTATGTTGGTTTTATTGCACAGACAAGCCTCCAAACCATTTGAATTTTGGTCAGTATATTGCTTCCAGGGTGCCCAGTCTGAAAGGTTTTCATGAAAAATCTACAAACTTGGAAAACAGAACATCTATTTTGAAAGCTCTCTCTTCCGTTATGATTTCATTACAAAGGTATAGTTGAATAATTGGCATTCTTTTTTATTTCAGTGATTGATTTATGTTAAATTTTAACAAAAAAGTGAATTTGGAAATCTTTTTTCTTATTCTTTTATATCATATATATTTTTTAAAATTTTAAATCTGGTTTAGAATCCTATTGTTAATTATGAAATCCATGCAAGTTTCCAACGTTGTAGTTTCAGGTTCTATATATTGTAAATTTTTTTTTGTTTTTTTCAGCATCTGGAGATTCATTTGAGCTGAATAACTGTAGATATTTGTGTCCAGATATAATTGTTGAATCTGTGGAAAGAAAGCTGACAAGTATGGTTGTAAAGTGCATGATATTTCCTAAGTTCAGGCTAGGTTTCTTTAACAGAATTTTCTTTCTAATGATCTTTACAATATGTAATACCTTTCACTAATTGAGATAATATACTTTTCACATAAGTAATTAATTCCTAAAAATCTTTGTTAACAAAAATATCATTCTAAGAAATAATTTGATTGTGACACATACTGTGATGAAGAAATTGGAAAAGAATGCCTTAAGTAGATAGAAAACTAATTTAATAATGTGTAGAACTATGGCCAAATAACTAGAATTATTAAATGAATTAATTTATAATTGCTAAATCAAAACTTATGGTCTTTTTTTTATTTTATTTTATTTTTTTAAACCCTTGTATTTTTTAAAGAGGAATTGATGCCTGCAAGAATAAATCTTACCTTGAAGCAATTACTTCTTTTCATTGTCTCTCTTAGAACTTATTTTTTATTTGCTTTGAAAGTCTAGAGTTTGATTAAACTCGATTAGGAGGTTATAGGTTTGCGATTTTTGGAAACAATTTTCTGAAGCTGGCAGAGCTTTTTGTTTTTTGATTTGGAAACAATTTCAAAAGTGAAGATAAAATTTACAAACCTGAGTTTTATCTTTAGTATTTTTAATATATGAAAACATGTTTAATTTAACATCCAAAAACTATTTTCAAAAGTAAATACTTAATTGTTTTTCAAATTTTCAGAGAATATTTGCCACCACTAAACCCTTGGAGGATCTAAAAGGTCAACTACAACTTGGCACTAAGTGTCCAAAATGATGTCCTATTTCTTGGTGTAACTTTATATTAATAGTAAAGGACCAACATCTCAATTTACACTTTTCTTCAACTTTTCTATCCACTGGTTGAATTATATATATATAATGCATAGCAAAATTCATTTGCTAAAGATGTTTTGAATTTCATGTGTCCAAACTATGGAAGAATCATCTTAACCATTGTATTTTCTCTCTAGAACTTTTTCCAAGTCTTGTTTCTAGCTTTTTGAGTTCCATTTTATCCACATCTTTTAGATTTCCAATTCACACAATCTTCGAATTTGAATGGTTTAATGCTCCTAGATCACTTTTATCCAAGCCCTTTTCAATTTAACCAATATGCATAATATCTACCATTGCTTTTCAGATATGAATTTAAAACCAATCATGAAGAATGGATTAAATCAGTCAAACCAAGGTTTGGACCTGGTGTCTCTGATCGTGTTCTTCAAGCAATTAGCATAACAAACGACAATATGAAACTCTTATATAAAGTCCGGACTGAGATGCGAGCAGCCCTTCGAAGTCTCTTAAAGGTCTTCCCAATTTACTGTTGGTGTTATTTCTTAAATATTTCCATGCTTGTATTAAGTTATAATTTGGTGATGATTGTCATGCTTTCTCTTGAAAATATATCTAATTGTAATTATTTATATACGGTAATTCTCTAGTTAGAACATCCTTATATAAATTTTATCAAGACCATGCTTATATACCATTACCTTTATTTGTAAAATATCATTTCAGAATAATGAGATAAATCCAATGATATTTAAGCATGATGCTGACAAAATTTACATCAGGGTGTCTTAACTAGAGAACTACTATACTCACGCACACACATGCACGCGCACACACTCACACATATACACTTTCTTTCACAATAACAGTCCTATATGAAGCTATTGCTTCCAATTGTGTTGTTGGTCTTAGGTTGTGTTCTCTTTCAATTTTAAAGTCTTTAGATACCACAATTAATAATGAGGAAATTATGAAGTAAATAGTTTTGATTTGCTGCAGATTGAGACTAGTGCTGCAAAAAGAAATCATCCCACTTTCATAAATTGATCTTATTGTACATATTTTCCTGTGGCTATAGACCTACTAAAATCTAGTTAAATTCCGGCTTTTTGCTGGAATGTTTCATAATCAAAGAACGTAACATTTTTCAAGGTTGGATAGGGTAAATAGACAATCAGACAAAATTTGCTGTTTATAGTCAATGTTATGATGTGGTAAAATTTCCTGTGGCTGCGGGCCTACTATTTTTATCTTTGAGACCTCTAGTTGATATGGAGCATCGGTGTTCCAAGTAAGATAAAATTTTGGCTTAGTCTTTGACTCTTAGAAAGTTTAACACCAATGGTATCATTCAAAAGAAGAATATTAGTTAGCTAACAGGTTTCCTCTTTTAAGCCTTTGTAGGCAACTAGTTCACTTGCATGTGTACCTTTTGATCTCTTTGTTGACAATATGCATTGTTTCTTATCAGAAAAGTTTCAGATTGGGACATCTAGTGTGAATTCTAGCGCTTTATTTCAGCTTAGGATACTATTCAACTTCTTTAAGCATCCAAAGGGTTGGTTTGAGTAGTCAAGGTCTTTGGTTTCATTGAAAAGGTCAGATATTCGTATGCTTTGGGGTGCACCTACTTGGAATATTATAGCTAAATGAATCTCACTCCTTCAACTCATTCCATGTTAGCTGGGGTTAATAATTGTGTATTACTTATAGCAATATCCTTTACTGGTCTTCCCTTACGCCCTTTTTTCATTCTCATTGAGTTATGTTGTCTTTGAGTTCAAAGGAATGAATGGTTCATTTCTAATTATGACTTTTCTTTAAAAAATATATTTTAATTTTTTTTTTCTCTCTAATATTTAAATTTAGTCCACTTGTTGCAATGGGCATGTTTGTTTGTCTATATGTTTTTTTCCCTTTTATTTGTCTATTTTCTAAATGATAGAGCTTCTTTAGACTTACTATAAAATATCTAGTGCATGTTTATTTATTTATTTATTTTTCGTTTTCATCTTTTCCACTTTTTTATCTTGAAAAATTTGTAATACTTGTTTAATTGGCAATTTTCATTTATAAAACAGAAGGCAGAAAAGAAGAGAGAAGCATATGTATAATTAAGAAGTTGAAAATATGAAAATCATAGAGAGGATATTTTATGTTTTCATTTGATGTTTATAAGAAAATGATATCCAATATGTTCTTGTTATATTTTAATTTCCAAACATTATTTTAAAAAAAATAATAATAAAAGCTTCTCAAATTTTGTGCAAATTTGATAGGAACCCACTCTAATAACTCAACAATTGGGTTAGGCCGTGGGTCTTTTATGGGCTTGGGTAGAACTCTCCTTAGAAAATCGGCTTGTTAAGGGAGGGTGCCCAAGCCCTTTATAACTCACATGCCCACTCTTTTCCTTCCAATGTGGGATCCTGACATTCCACTACGCTTTCGCAACCGATGTCCACGTCGGCCTTTTTACCCTTTGGGTGATTACGCGGATCCCCTTTCCCTCGGGTCTCCATGCCTTTTCTTGGGGTAGTAGCCTGGGCCCAAGTAGGGATGGGCACAAAGCCCGGTCTCTCGGGACCCACCCTGAATGGGGCGGATTTTCCCCGAATCGTTTGGGCTTTGGGCCGGGATCGGGCCAAGATTGGCCCGGAATTCGGGGACGGGCCGAGGCCGGGATAGGTTTTGCCTCAGCCCCGAATTCCCCGGCCCGTATATTTTATATATATATATATTAATTTTAATAATTGAAAATCAATCATATATACCTATAATAATTTTAATATTTGAAAATCAATTATACATTATACAATGACAAATTATAATTGTGTAAGTATTTTATGAAACTATATGCAAATAGGTAATAAATAAAACTAGATTAAATATAATAAATCATTATAAATATTTGTAATATATATATATATATAATATGTTAATGCTATGAAACAAAAGTTATACATTCGACATTATATATTATACATTTTATATGGTATACATTTGACATTATACATTATACATTATATATGGTATATTATATATGTATATACTCTATATAAATATAATTTATATAACATATATATGTTGTACATTATAATTTATACATAATATGCTATTATCTATAATCTTACGTTAATACATAATAGGCTATTTATTTATTTTTTTGGTTGGTATATATAATTTGGAGAAAAGGATAATAAAACTAAGGATAATATAACGGGCTTTTTTTGGGGATTCCCTGAATTCCCCGAACGGGCTTTAGATTGGGATTGGTGAATCCCCTTGGGCTTTCGGGCCGGGGACGGGGCAGGAGACAGGGGTCCCCGACCCCACCTCGGCCTATGCCCATCCTTAGGCCCAAGGTCAGCCTGCCACGAATCAACCTGCCATGTAGGCGACGTCCACATGGGCGCAGGATAATGCTTTGATACTAATTGGTAAGAACCCATTCCAATAACTCAACAATTGGATTGGGCCATGGGTCTTTCATGGGCTTGGGTAGAACTCTCCTTGGAAAACCAGCTTGCCAAAGGAGGGTGCCCAAGCCCTTTATAAGCCACATGCCCACTCTTTTCCTTTTCAATGTGGGATCCTAACATTCCTAATTCAAATTTCTTATTCACATTTGTGAATTCTTTTTTTAAGAACATAAACAGAGTAACAATAAAGGATGCCACCTTATCATCTCTTGACTTGTTGGATTCATGTTTTGTATAGTTGTGTTATGATGGGTTAATTGATGATATTTTAGAAGCCCCTCCCTTTTGCATTCTTCTTTTTCATATTTATCTTTTGTTGACCTGCTTGGGTAGTATATTTGTCTTTCTTTCTCGTTTCTATCATTTAGTTCCCCAATGTGAAGTTTTTCATTGACTAGTTTGTAGTTTGATCTAGTGAAGGAAATGATTAGTTTAGTTTCTACTTTACAGAATGTATATGTAGCCGAGTTGGATTATTGAGAAAAAAGTTTTTGCATCAGGTCATTTGCTGGCTTAGGTGTTTGGAGGTTTTTTATCTATGAGAAAACAGATTTCTTGAACTTGTTCCATTTGGCTAGGCAAGTTCATTTTTGTTCCTGCCAGAAGTTGAACTTGCTTTGTTTTGTTGATAGCACCTGTTTGTTGGTTAACAAAATGATCTTTACCTCGTAACCTTATCCAAAATGGAAAAAGGAGACAAAATATCCCTCTTCTTTATTTTCTGGAAGGCCCCTGTTATTTTTCTTATGGACAGTTTTACAGCATCTCACTTCTGATTTGGTAAAAATTGAGGATGTTTAGAATGTTAATAAGCTGACTTGTTATATCTTAGGGGCTCGTTACATCATTGTGATGAGCGACATAAAGAAAGCTATCTTACTAGATTGAAGTGTGTTGCTTCGGTCATACATTTCACCATCTCATTATCTTATTTTTTTTTATTCTAGGATGATGGAATATTAGTGATTCCCGCAGTTGCAGATCATCCATTAAAGCTTAATACAAAGAAAGGGTATTCTACTGAGTTTCATAGTAGAGCATGCGTGCTATCAAGTATTGCAAGTATGTCTGGTTGTTGTCAGGTGAACTCTTCATCACTATGCTGCAACTTTCATTAGTATAATTTCTATGCCCTTGTCTTATTGTCTATGTTCTAGTTGTATTTAATTTGACCCTGCTATTACCAGGTTGCCATTCCATTAGGAAAGCATGATCAGCATCCAATCTCTATTTCATTTATCTCGTACCATGGAGCTGATAAATTTCTTCTGGATACGGTCTTGGATATGTACGATTCCCTTCAAGAGCAAGCCAACATTGCATCTAATTCAGTGCCTTTGCCAGACACGAATGGTAACATGGATGCTTCTGAGTTCTTGAAAGAAAAAGTAGGTTCATCTCATTATGTTACTGTAAACACTAATGCTTCATTGATAGAAAACGTTTTGGTGTACATGTCCTTTATATTAACAATGTGTACCATTGTCCAATTTTCATGTGCTACTACTATTTTCCATCATATCGTGCATAAGTTCACGAGTTTGCCCCTTTTTCATTGTTAGTTGGAGCATTTACTTTCGTATTACCTTTGAGTGGCCTCCTTTGCAAATGATAAGTTTATTTATTATCAAAGTTTTTATTGTTTAATGAGTTCAATGTCATGCATAATTGAATGTTCTTCAGTAAAGTTTTACTTGTTAAGTAGAATGGTATCCTATTTCATTACTTAGAAAACTATCCTCTTTAATTTATCATCTGCCTAGATGGATATAAATTTTAATTGGTTGTCCACTTCTGTCTCTCTCATTCTCTTTGAATTGTTCTTCAACCATTCTCGTGTAAGGCTCTGCACTAAATTGCATGCTCTGGTCCTTTGAGCTTCCACTTCCCAGCCTCTTGCATTGTTATTTTAAGTTATGAATTATTACATATCTTCACATTGTGCTTCATCCACTAATGTACTCATCCAGAAATTCATAGATGTTGAGATATGATACTTATTACATATTATGAGGCATGAATTGTAGATCTTCCAAATATTAATGCTTGCCATGTTAGAAGAGGTTGAACTTGTTAGAAAGCTAACTTAAATAATTGAAACACTACTACCATGGAAAATATTATTTCTATTGCTACAGATTCTCAATTACAAACATCAAATGTTTGCTTTTGCAAACATGTTGTGGATTTGCTTGTTCTTAATAAGGCTTTGGATCCTTGTGAATGCCACATGTTCTTTGGAATTGATAATACTTCGTAAGTGTGATAAAGTGGGCTTGGGTAGAACTCACTTTCAAAAGCTAGCTCAAGGGAGAAGGGAGCCCAATCACTTATACACATCATAACAGCCCACTATTGGGGCGATGTGGGACAAATTCAACTTCTAGTACCCTCCCTCATGCTCGGCGTGCAAGGCCGGGGTCCAAACCCATCATTGCCCCAACCAAAGAGGGGAGAGAAACAAACGTGGCTCTAATACCATGATAAAGTGGGCTTAGGTAGAACTCACTCCCAAAAGCTAGCTCAAGGGAGGAGGGAGTATAATCACATATATACACCATAACAGCCCACTATTGGGGCGATGTGGGACAAATTCAACTTCTAACAAAGTGATAGACAACTTTTATTTACTTGTTAAATAGACACAGCTCTAGTGTCATTTAGCTGATTGTTGTTTTTATGCTAGTTCTACTTCTGTTTCCATTTATTGAATCATTATACAACTTTGAGGGTCTTTCTCTCTCTTTTTACATGTTAATGGGGCATGGATATTCTCAATGCATAGTTTTGGAACAAATATGAAAAAATATCCCCTTATGCAAAACATTCATGAAAATGTCCCTAACTTGATTGTCTGATTTGATGTTAAGGCGTAACAACTTTTCCTGCCATTTGCTATAATAACCTCAGGAAATGTGTCAATCTACTTTCATGTGTTTAGTGTGTTCAAGGAACACTGGATTACTAACTATACCAGTTGTTGTTTGGGTGTCATTGTACGTAACAGAAGGCATTTTTAACATCAATTCTCAACTCCATTAATAGATTATACAGTCACTTTAGTTTATAGGTAGTGTGAGCCATGAACACACAGTATGCTTCTTAAGTTGATGCACCATTTTGTTTGTTACTCCCCCAAGTCACCAAGTTGCCACCAGGAAATGTGCAGTAGCCACTCATAGAGGCTTTGGAATCTACCCAATCAGCATCACAATAACACACAATATGACCAAATTTCTAATGAATTCCTGCTCCAACTGTTTGTTTGAGATATCTCAGAATTCTGCATTCAGCCCTGCAAGTTTGCTTATGATTTTGCATATATTGACTAATGCTCTAACTGTATAAGAGATATCCAGTCTAGTTTCAGTCAAATAAGTAATCTTTCCCTTGAGACTTCTATTGCTCTTCTTGTCATCATATTTGCAACTTATTCATCATCTTGATTCAAATATGGGTCTATTGGTATCTCAGCAGGTTTGCAACCCAATATCCTTGATTCAGATAATACATCTTGAACATATTTTGTTTGAAATAAGACTAGTTCCATTTTTTCTCAATTGAGATAAGACAATAGATTTGCATCACTGCTATACAATGTTGTCATGGGCATTCTTTCATAGTGGATTGCAACAGCTAAATGATGCTTATTGTCACGACTAGACTTTGCAATAAACTGGAGATCAGCTTTCTCATGGCCCTGTTGATTTTATACATTGAAAGAAAATTGCTTTGAAATTTGGCACAGACTCAATAATGAGTGATTTTTGGGATGTGAAAGAGTGTCAAGCTGGTTTGATATATGACTTGGTTCAAATAGCTATGATATAGATACTATTAGTTTTTTGCTCTATTCTTCTTGACATATTAGTATATATTTTATTTAACTGACAGTTGTATTCATGGGAACCTTCACGAATGCTTATCATCTGTCTTGCTGGACTTTAGATCAGGCTATAGCCAAGGTGCTGCTTATTAGACATCAGCTTAAAGTTAGTTTTTGTCCAATCATTTGGTTATTATTCTTTTGATTTTTTGTCTATTCTATCAAAAATATACTCATTCATGTAAGATGAATGGAAATGCCTCATTATATTTGTTTTTGGTCATTGTTCTTACTGATTGCTGAGAAATTTGGTACAGGGAAATGCTGCATTCAAGGGAAGGCAGTGGAATAAGGCTGTGAGTTACTACAGTGAAGCTATTAAAATCAATGGGACAAATGCAACTTACTATTGCAACCGGGCGGCAGCTTACTTAGAACTAGGATGGTATGATAATTTTCTAAAATGTTGAAATTATTTTCATAGATCTATTGCAATTTTTCAACTACAGGGACCTGCTCTGCCAAATGACAGTATGATCATCTTCCCTTTTGTTTCTTCTTTTTTTATACAGCTTTCAACAAGCAGAAGAAGACTGCAGCAAGGCAATATCACTTGATAAGAAGGTGAGAGGACATGTCTGTAATGTTAATTGCGCTAGATAAACACTGGTAAATTATTTCTGCATCCTTTAATTCCATATCCTGTTGCTGTTTGTTAATGATACAACAGGTCAGTTCCTAGTTGTTCAATATATCTGACTTCTACTTTGTTTCTTCTTGTTCTTTCCTTGTGGTGATTATTTATTGACTAAGGTGGGGAAATGGAATTTGTTCTGCATTGTGTTATTTGTCATTATGTTTACAACCATTCTATTGTTTTTGTTGTTGTGTTGCAGCTTAACTTAATTTTATTTTTATTGTGGATAGAGTGTTTCTAGGTTTCTTAGGAATTAAATATGGATTAAGAACACACTATGCTTTTCTGTATGTGTTTCTCTTCCTTTCCCTCCACACACGTGTGTGAGTACAAGTTCTATGATTTATAAAGAAAGGACTTTGGCAGTATGGCAATTATGTGGCATTTAGACGGGAAATTTGGAGCCAAAATAGTACTTGTGGCATTTTAATGCCAAATTGTGTGAATCTCTGATGCTGCATAGGTAGGAGAAACAAGAGCGAAGAAAGGAAGAAAGAGGATGAAGATGAGAAAAGAAAGGGGATATAAATTGACGATTTATAATGTGGAGAATTGCAGAGAGAGTTGAGAAGGAATAGACAGTTTGATGGTGAAAGAAGGGAGATAGAGCGAAAACAATCAGGTATATTTATAAAAGCCATATCAAATATAAAAGTCAACCAGCACATATTCTACAAGTAAAACCCTAATCAACACACTTAAGTATCCCTAGTACAACTCAAATGAGAAATTCTAAAGAGTAATACTACACATACATCATTTTTATACAACATTTCTCATACAACATTATGTGGCAAGATATGATTGGCTAATTTAAAGTTAAAATTAAACTTTCACCCAATCATATCTTGTCATATAATGTTGTATGAGAATGATGTATGTGTAGTATTATTCAATTCTAAATTAGTACTGAAACAAAATAACTCCTACATAAATTTAAGTTATATTTGGCATCAATCTCAATAAAGCCTCTATCTGCATCTTTAAGGTTATTTTGTTCTTTGGGCTAGATGATTTGAGCCTGAAGAGAAGTGGTAAAAGGAGGATGAAGGACAGCATTTTCTTGCTAGTGATTATTCATGAGCAGAACTTCTTGCAGGCATTTGAGTGTTTATAATACATCTAATACCATCACCTTTTCTGCTCCAACAAAAAGCTGCATTTACCAGCATTAGACCCTTGCTTAAAGATTTAGTGTTTATCCATAATTTAACTTTTACCCGAAATCTGTCCTGCTCAATGTTAAAGAAAATTAAAGGGAAAATATATCTTTACCGAGATCAGGTTATATGGTCATATTTAATATTTAACATTAATGTAGCTGCCCAATGTTGTTTTAGCTCTTTATTGAAAAATAAAGTTAATATCAACGTAATGCTTGTGGATTTTAATGCATTCACGCTTTTATGGACATGGGCTAAATGGTTATTTTGAAATTATGGGATTTCGTTTTGTTAATCTTCTATATCTGATATGTAGCTGCATAGAATGAATCTGGGACTCAAGTTTATATTGATGGTTATCAGTGAACAATATTTGTTACTTTCTAGATTTTTGGGACAGACCGAATGTGAAATGTGTGTGCATTTGCACTGAAATGTTGATAGATATTGATTAATATGAACTATAAATTTCTGTTACATTTGTGCAGAATGTGAAGGCATATTTGAGACGTGGAACGGCCAAGGAGACACTTCTCTGCTATAAAGAGGCTTCTCAAGGTGAGAAAGCTTCTACTTGTTCATAATAACAATATTTGTTACGTCTAAATAATTGTTGAGAACTATTGTTTTTTAGCAATATCTCAATTGTTTGTGCAAAAAGTTATACTGTGTCGATAGCTGAGAAGATCTTGTTTTGCTTTAATCTTAAATATAAAACAAACTACAGGGGAAGGGGCATTGATGGGATCACTAGTATGGCCTCTATGATGCTCAAGTTAATAAGGATCGGTAAATGACAAAAATGAGCAAGTGAATGGAGTGTTTTTTAACTAGTTTAGTGTATCTTAGTCTTGGCAATCCCTGTGGATTTATAGAGCTTGAGCTCTCAAGTACCAGAGCTATTTTAGGAGTGTGGACCGCCAAGTGTTGTGGGCTGGCTGTTGGAGATTATGGTCTGTTTGTGGGCTTTCTATAATGGGTATGGAGCTTTGCTTGGTTCTTACTCCTAGGTAAGTGTTCAAGTGGCATAGTTTAAACTTTCTTATATGACAGGATGAGGAGACTTCTGCCAGGTGGCTTAGTATGCATAAAATAATCCCCAATCACAGGAAAATTTGTCAAATTTTTGTCCTTTGTTAACCTGTAAGACCAAATGTTCCATGGATTGGGCTTTCTATTCCAATTGAAGTCCACTATTTTAATAACTGGTTTTGGGTCTTTTTGTTGGGTATATTAATGACATGGTGCTTCTTATTTTTACCTCATGGAGGTCCTCTAAGTTACTTTTTTGAGTACCACTAAATGGAGAAACTTGAATTTGATGTAAATCTTATGAGTCATCTATTAATCCTGCTCTTAAATTAGTTAAATTCTAATTTTTAATTCTAAATATTGGATTTTACTTTTTTCCTCGTTGCCAGAGTTATCAAAATAAACACATTGCGCCTCTTGTATTTTCTTTCATTTATATAGGTCACCAAATTCCTTTGTAAGGCTAGTTGAATGTTGAAGTGTGTGGTTGCTCCCACAAGGTTCGGGGTCCGAATCCTTCTTGTCACCTACACGACCAAAAGCTATCATTTCTTACTTCGCAAATATTATGGGGTTTGGTGGGGCTCCTACTGGGAAAAGGATTTCAGGATTATCTAAAGATATAGGCAACTAAGGTTTACTTTTTCTGCTTGCCTTTAGCTTTTTTCTTCTTTCAAGCCTTTATTCATGAATATGGGGTTCTCTTGAGGATTTTTGAAGTGCTACATCTTTACCAAGTTCAATCCATTTGCTCAAGACAATTGACATATTAGGGTTTGATTCAATGGCACTAAGAAGCCTGACGATCCTGCTAGCGAAAGTTTGACTGAGAAGCAAAGTGGTATAAGGAAATTAATCCAAGACATCATTAACGGATGCAATGCAATGCCAAGTATATTGTGTTTATCTTCTGAAGATTACAGGGCCCCTTAGGTTTATTAAAATAGAATATATTGATTATTAAAGCCATGCCCGTATGCCTGGAATTCTCAAGTGCATCCATCTGGGCACAATCTTTTCCACACACCCAAATGCACACACATACGCAGCAATCGAATACAAGCACTGTTGTCATCATCTAATCAAGTAAATTTTTTTTCTTAATATTTGCAGATTTCAAGCATGCTCTTGTTCTTGAACCACAGAATAAGGTGGCTAATCTTGCTGAGAAAAGACTAAGAAAGCTGGTAAGTTGATACTTCGCTTCCTCTCTCTCTCTCTTTCAATACAATATTGGATTGGATGAGGATGAAATGAATCATTCAATAATAGTTGTTCATTATAACCTGCTCGGGTTAAAGAATTCAAAAGATAAAAGAGGTGAAGGATGTGCTGTCTGTACGAAATTTTTTTAATGTGAAATAAATGCTGTATATAGACCTTCTCTAAAAAAAGAAAAAGGGAAACAAAAATTGTATTGTTGTAACTGAAACAAAAATTGTATTGTTGTAACTGATAAAACTCCTAGAATATTTCGTTTGAAAGTATTAATGAAGTGGCATCAATCTCTTGTGGTCCTTTGTGAATGTACCTGTAATAACTGCTTGATACTATTATATTCATAAAAAATATGTATAATAAAATACGAGTACATTAATAAAAATAGTTGGGTCGAAATTTTCTTTTATTTAATATACATATTTTTTTACAAAAGTCAGTATATTTTACAAAAGTTCATAAAAGTGTGGACAGTGTAACTACTCCTTCTTGCCCGTTGACATCCACCCAATTGCGTTCTCATTTAGAATTGACAAAAACATAGAAAAACAACGGGGTGAGCAAAATAATGCTCAGTAAGTGAATCGTCTACTCGTCTATCCCTGTAACTTTTTTTCTTAATTCTTTCTTTACTCTCCTCTTCTCATTTCTGTTGTCTTTCTGTTTCTGTTTTTCAAACTCTTTTCTATATACTTTCTAGTGTATGTCACGACTTCATCTTACTAACGGCACGATTGGGGACTCAACCCATTCTTCGTGACTATTTATTTTCTCTTTTTGTTCTTTCTATTTCTCTGTTTTCCAAATTCTATTCATGGGAATGTCACGGCCTCATCTTATCGGAGGCATGGTCGGGAACTCTCTCGCTCTATGTGACTTTTACTCATTTTTGTATCGATCGGATTCGGTTATGCATGGATTTGAAACTTTTGGCCATGTGAGTGTACATTTTTTCTCTTTATCTCTCGAATGTCATGTCCCCTTCTTACCGGAGGTATGGCTGGAACCTCATGTTCCACTCTTCGTGACGGTCACGGCCTCATCTAATCGAAGGCACCGCTGGGGATCACAAAGCACCTACTCTCGTGACTTTACTCATTACTCACGGGTTCCCCATCGTACAACCTACTTTATTCTCTTCTTCAAGAGTAGTTTAAGCACAAAGGTCTCTACTTTTTCTCAAGCTAATACTCATAGTGTAGAAATTCTCTACTCTTTCTTAAGCTACTTCTTAATGCACAATTAATGCATATGGATGGTTCATACTCATTAATACACTTAGGAAATGCCACTATACAATGTTGCAAGAATTAAGGTTCTTAACTCATTCTCATACTCTCTTAGACATTTTATTAAACAACTCATATGTATATAAAAATTATTCTCTAACTACAATTCTCTTTCTCTTTGTAACCATCCAAAATGGGAATAAATTCTCTTCTATGGACATAACTCATATCATAGAAGAACACTTTCAAATATTTACTCAATCTCCTCCAACATTTATCTTAACTCATCACACATTACCACTTCCCATTAAGGGAGCATATCCAACACCACAACATAAATACTCATCTCAACTCAATTTCTCAACACACAAATATATGTCTCTACTCAATTTCTCAACAAGCATCATTTATACATGCATAAAGAAATCTCTACTCAAGGATTTCTTAAACTTTAGTTTGAGTTGAATTTACTTTCCTTGTGATGGTGTGATTTCACTAAAACTTCTATTTTCCTTTGGTAGATGTCTTTTTTCTACACTTTTAAACAATAACACAATAAGACCTTAACACCTTTATAGCTAAATTTCACATCTAGAATAAAGGTCATTACCTTAGAATGCCTTAGATCACCTCTCTATCCACAAACTACTTAAAAGCCCTTTAGAATCCTTGAAGGATTGGATGGAAAGTTGAGAGAAAATGATTAATGAGTATGGCGGTGGAAGAAGAAGAATGAAGGGTTTCTAAAGTTAAACCCTTAATATCTCATATTTTCTCTACTCTTTCGCATTTTACCCTTACTCTTTCTTAGGAATTCCACCTTTGCCATTTTAATTCTTCGCAAATGCACCCCCATTTAAACTATTCTCCATGCAATTTCCTTGCATTTTACTCCCCACTTTTCTTGCTAATTAGGGGTAAAATGATCATTATGCCCTAAAGGAAAAATTCTCTAGAAACTTATTAAATTTTTCAACTAACTCATCGCCGCAGCGAAGAGCTTCCCATCGCCCTGACGAAAACTTACGGAAACGACTCACAACTCACAAGCCAACGTCACCGCGGCGAAGACTATTCTTCGCCCTGGCGAAGACTGAATTTCAAAAATTCACCAAGTCTTAACCAAAATCAGGGCAAACACTTAACCAAATCAACTCATCAATCCAACTAAGGGTCAACCAATGGAAAATAACAACATGCAGCTCAAATGAAAACAAATCAATAAACATTCAAGCAATACAACACAATTGAACTACGTACCTCAAGTAAGGCGTTACAATTCTCCCCCCCTTAAAAGAATTTCGTCCCCGAAATTCACACAAATAACTCCGGGTAACGAGCCTTGCATGTATTGTTCTACCTCTTATGTGGCCTCTTCTACTTTATGGTTTCTCCAAAGGACTTTCACTAATGGAATGCTCTTATTACGAAGTTCTTTAATCCTTAGGTCTAAAATCTGAACTAGGCGCTCTTCATACACAAAATTCTCTTCTAAGACAATGTCCTCTATACTTAAGATGTGGGAGGAATCACTTACGTACTTCTGAAGCATCGAGACATGAAAAACATCATGCACCTTGTCCATGCTAGGTGGTAGTGCCAATCTGTAGGCTACCTTTTCCACTCGTTGCAATACTTCAAATGGACCTATGTATCTCGGTGCCAACTTTCTTTTGCTTCCGAAGCGCATTACCTGCTTATAGGGAGAAACTCTTAGAAACACTTTGTCACCTACTCTAAACTTTACATCTTTTCTGTTCAGATAAGCATAACTTTTCTATCTGTCTTGGGCTTGCTTCATTCTGTTTCTGATCAACTTTACATCCTCTATCATCTTCTGGGTTATTTCTGGCCCAAGAACTGTACTCAATTGATCCTTCTCACCTATCTCATCCCAATGTGAGGGAGACTTACATCGTCTACCATATAAAGCCTCGTAAGGCGCCATCTTAATTGTAGATTGGTAACTGTTATTGTAGGCAAACTCCACTAAGGGTAACATCTCATGCCAGGATACTTTATAATCCATACAGCAAACTCTCAACATATCTTCAAACACCTGATTCGTTCTCTCCGTTTGACCATCTGTCTGAGGATGGTAGACGATGCTAAATGCTAAATGAGTACCCAAATTCTTCTGTAAACTCATCCAGAAAGCTGAAACAAATCTGGAATCTCTATCTAACACTATTGTCTTGGGCACTCCATGCAATCTGACTATCTCTTTAATATACATCTGAGCCAACTGATCTGTAATAGTACTTTCCTTTACTGGAAGGAAATGGGCTGATTTGGTTAACTTATCCATAATCACCCATATAGCATTATATCATTTCTGTATCTAGGGAGACCTGTAATAAAATCCATTGAAATGCTCTCCCACTTCCATTTTGGAACACTAAGCGGCTGAAGCAACCATGATGGCCTTTGATGTTCTGCTTTCACCTGTTGGCAAACCAGACACTTATCTACAAATTCCGCAATATCTTTCTTCATACCTAGCCACTAATAGCCTTTTTTTTACATCTTGGTTGCTCCAGGATGAGCAGTGTATGGTGTGTCATGAGTCTCTGCAAGAATTTTCTTCTTCAACTCATCACTTGGAGGAATACACAACCTATTTTTGAAATAGAGAACACCATCTTTTAAATAAAACTATGATGTTTTGCCTTCATACACTTGCTGAACTATTCTCTGACCCACTCATCGGCCACTTGCTTTTCTTTAACTTTTTCCAATAAAGTAGACTGGATCTCTAACTTGGCAATCCGTCCCGGAATTACTTTAATCTGCTCTCTACACAACTCTACTAATAACTCTTTCTGCCTAGTGAGTCGGGACAAATAAGCTTTTCTACTTAGGGCATCGGCTACTACATTGGCTTTCCCTGGTTGATACTTGATCTCACACTCATAATCTTTAACCAGCTCCAACCACCTTCTCTGTCTCATATTTAGCTCCTTCTGAGTGAGGAAGTACTTTAAACTCTTATGATCGGTGTAGATATTACTCTTGGCACCATAAAGGTAATGCCTCAAAATCTTTAATGCGAAGACCACGGCTGCTAGCTCTAAGTCATGTGTAGGGTATCTCGTCTCATACTCTTTTAATTGCCGAGAGGCATATGCTATCACCCTACCTACCTGCATTAACACAGCACTAAGTCCTTGCAAAGAGGTATCTGTATAAATATCATAGTCTACACCTTCCTATGGTAACACTAACACGGGAGCTGTCGTTAACCTCTTCTTCAACTCTTGAAAACTCTCCTCACATGCTTCTGACCATGTAAAAGGAGTTCTCTGGTTGGTAAGAGCTGTCAATGGTTTAGCCAATTGGGTGAACCCTGCTACAAATCGCTGGTAGTAACCTGCTAGGCCCAAGAAACTTCTGACCTCTTTCACGGTCTTCGGCCTCTGTCACTCAAGAATTGCTTTGACTTTACTCGGATCTACTGAAATCCCTTCCTTAGACACAGTATGGCCCAAAAATAATACTTGATCAAACTAAAACTCACACTTGGAAAACTTAGCATACAACTTTTTTTCCCTCAATCGTTGCAACACTAATCTCAAGTGTTCTTCATGCTTTTCTCTCGACTTAGAATAAACCAGGATATCATCTATGAAAACCACTATAAACTGATCCAAACAATCATGGAATACTCGGTTTATCAAGTCCATAAATACTGCTGGGGCATTTTTCAAACCAAAAGACATCACTACAAATTCATAATGCCCATACCTTGTACGAAAAACAGTCTTTGCTACATCTTGATCGGCCACTCTTACTTGATGGTACCCTGACCTCAAGTCAGTTTTGGAGAACACTGCTGCTCCTTTCAACTGATCAAATAGGTCATCTATCCGGGGTAGCAGGTACTTATTCTTCACTGTTACTTTATTCAGCTCTTTATAGTCTATACACATCCGCAGTGACCCATCTTTCTTCTTCACAAACAAAATTGGAGCTCCCAAGGGAGAATGACTCGGTCGGATAAAGCCTTTATCCAAAAGCTCTTGGAGTTGCTTTTTTAATTCCTGAAGCTCTGCTAGGGCCATTCG